GGGCGGGTGACACAACCCCGTTTTGGTAAATCCAGTTCAGAAGATGAGGCACGCAAAGAGCCGGCAGTGGGGCAGACACAAGAAAGCAATGGCACTTTTCCCCCCGAATCACCAGAAACTCAATTCAGCATAAAAAACCAACCACGTACCGCTGGTGCAGAGACTCCCCCTCGTTTCATGCGCCTGACACCAATGCCCCCCGACAAGCAATGCGCAGAACAAACCGCCGAGAGAAACCCCCGGGAGAAACCCCCGGCCATTGCCACTCGGTTTTTCGACTCAACTCGCCCCCCGAGCCCTCTCCCCGTCGAGCCCACGCCAGCTCCGGCTGAAGGTACGGGCAGGCGAATGGCATTACATATTGTGGGTCGGTATGAGAGTGCTGTGCCCGACCGTGTGCGCAGGTACAAAGCACTTCATCGGAGATTACCTTGTCCGCTGAGGTTGGGGTTGGTGTAGTCCCAGGTATCCTGGTCGTTCTTGAAGACGTTGAGGCGTGTCGGCTGCGAAAGACACCCGGAGAAGTGTCAGGGCGTCAGCGGCGTCACCCCACGAGGGGTGGGCGCTGCTGGCAGGGAGGCTTACCTTGGCGTATTCGATCTTCAGCGTGCAGCACCCGGAGTAAATGTCAGCCCCATTGAGGGATGCCTTGGCTCGCTGGGCGCTCTGCACCGAGTCAAACGTTAGCGGCGTTAAGGATGTTTACAGAAACGAAAGCGTCTTCGCAATGGATTTTGCCGTCTAGGATGGATCTGACCATGCCGTATGTCAGCGTCGTTCCCCGAGCACACAGAGAATTTGGGAAACCCTCAGATCCCTCCCCATAGCTGGCCAGGACAAGCCAGAGTGTGGCCAAGGCGACTGGTGTGAGGTCAAACCAACCCACAGCAGAAAAAACATGAGCTAGGCAGCCCCAGGCTCTCAGGGCACAGAAGGATATTCCACCATGGCCTGGACACCATTTTTCCTGAAGATAACAATCCTCTGCACAGGGCCGCAGGGGTTACAGATGGTGTACAGCACGTCCTGTGGGACAGGAAAGGACAGAAGGCATGAGGGATCTGGCTGAGGCACAGCAGCAGCCCTTGAAAGCCCCCCCCCGAAAGCGGCAGATGCCTGGCTCCACGTTCCCAAAATCCTCGGGTTCCCCCAGCGCGTCACCCACCGTCGTGATGGAGTAGATGGGGTTGAGGATGGTGAAGAGCAGGACATTGTTGACACCCCTGGAATCATCCGTGTCCCCGGGGCGCGATATCTTCTGGCTGGTGGAGTAGTTGACAAAGGCAGGATGACCAGCAATGTAGATCTGGTTGTCAGCTGCATAATTAACAGCATTGCAGGCTCCGAGGATATCCTCAAACTCCACCAAGGCTTGTCTTTTCTTGGGCATCACCACCACGTAGCTGGGACAGCAAAGACCACGGTCAGACTGCTGTCACAGTGCCGCCACAATGCCACTGCCATGCATGTCCCCCAAGACATCTCCTCACCTGATGGGGCCAAACTCCTGCAGGGCCTCCACGAGATCGGCCTCCACGACGCCGTCGATCAGCCCCCGGATGTGCACCACGGGGGAGGCAGGCGTCTTGTGGGGGTCATCATAGTTCTCCTGGTGGGAGAGAAGGGGTCAGCTCAGTATGGCGCCCGCCCAGAGCCACTGAGGCCTCTTTAATCCCCCAAAGTTATAACTGTCTGAGGCACCACCAAGAAAAACTGCCCTAGGTAAGGTCTTGGCGGCTGCCCTGGGAATCTCAGGCCACTCTCTGCCTGTCATTGAGGCCGAGGGTCCCGCCTTGCCACTTAAGAGAGAAAGCAGTTTTGAACATGATGAGACCAAAGAGCTCCCGATGCTGCTGGGGAAGGGGGCAAAGACACCGCAGGGCCCTGCCTCCCCCCAAACCTGTTCCCAGATGTTCTGCAGGCCTTTGAGGACCAGCCCTGCCCCTCAAAACACGTTTCCCCTCCTTCTGATGGTGCCAAGCGCTCTGTGGCTTGACCGAACCAGAGCAGCCCCTGTCACCCCACAGCCCTGACCTGATCCCTCCAAGGCCTCGGCCTACCCCGTACCCATCCAAGTAGTCCCTGACCCCCACACACCCTCTCCTAGTACCCCAGACCTACTCTATCTCCCATTTTCAGCCCTCTCCAGCCCGAACTACCCGATTTTACCCCCTCCCAGG